ACAAATAGAGGAGTGGGACGCAAATAGAGGGGTGGGACGCAAATAGAGGGGTGGGACACAAATAGAGGAGTGGGACGCAAATAGAGGGGTGGGACACAAATAGAGGGGTGGGACACAAATAGAGGGGTGGGACACAAATAGAGGAGTGGGACACAAATAGAGGGGTGGGACGCAAATAGAGGGGTGGGACGCAAATAGAGGAGTGGGACACAAATAGAGGGGTGCGACACCAGCACCGGGCTGGGGCAGAAACAGAGATTTGTGACACTAACAGAGGGGTGTGACACAAACCCCGGGCTGTGACACAAACCCCGGGCTGGGACACAAACCCCGAGCTGGGACAGAAACAGGGACTGGGACAGAAACAGGGGCTGGGACACAAACCCCGGACAGAAACAGGGGCTGGGACAGAAACAGGGGCTGGGACACAAACCCCGGGCTGGGACAGAAACAGGGACGGGGACAGAAACGGGCTGTGACACAAACCCCGGGCTGTGACACAAACCCCGGGCTGGGACACAAACCCCGGGCGGGGACACCCCCTGAGCCCCACACGCCCCCACGGCTCCGTGCCAGGCGCCCCCACGCCCCCTCGCACCCCCCCAGTGGCATCGGGACCCCCCCAGCCATGCCCTGGCCGGGGCCAGCGGCCGGGCCGAGGGTCCAGCTGTGCCCCGGCCCCGCTGCGCTGGCCGCTGGCCAAAGCCCGCTCGGTGCCAGCTCCCCCGGGCACGTGTGCGCCCTCGCAGCGGCCCCGGCCCGTGCCAGCAGGGCAGGAGCCGTGCCAGGCCCGCGCTGCCAGGGCACAGCTGGCCCCGGCTCGCGTGGGGAGGGGGCGCGGGGCACCCGGGGGTGGGGGCGGCCCCCGTGTCCCCGCAGGACGCCAGGACGGGGGGGTGGCACTGCTGAGGATGGGCAGCTCGCTGTGCCCAGCCCGGGGCCGTGGGGAGGGTCCCGCGTCCCCTCTGGGGGTCTCTGGACAACCCAGAGCCCCCCCAGGGGTCCCACGGGCGGGGGGACATGGGGCAGGTGGGGTGGGGGGGCAGCTTCCCATCCCACCCCACCTGGGGAATTATTGGGGGGGTTTGAGGGGTCCAGCCCTGGCCAAAGCCAAAGGAGGGGACACTGACCCATGGAGGGGACAGGAGGGGACATTGACCCCCGGAGGGACTCCCTGACCCACAGAGGGACACCCTGACCCACAGAGGGACTCCCTGACCCACAGAGGGACTCCCTGACCCCCGGAGGGACACCCTGACCCAAAGAGGGACTCCCTGACCCATGGAGGGGACATTGACCCC